TGAACACCCATATCCACGTCTGACTTACTCATAAGGACTGACGATTACGCGAACGAGGGATGCGACGATGAGCCTTACCACTTGCACAGTATCCTGTCACACCTCCCTGCTAAGTAACAGTAATTTACAAATGTCTGGAACGCCATCAGACCGGACCGTCAGACATGACGTGGTTTCGTCAGGTGCATGGAACTATGCAAACACCAGATCTGACCCTGCAGCCGTCGCAATTGTAGTGTGGCATGAGAAGTGGCGCATGCACAACAATGAGCGAGCTCGGCACCTACAGGCGTCGGAAGATGTCTGGGCTGCATATCCCACAGGGTCCGCGGCGAGCATTCAGCGTGATGTGCAGCCGCTGCAAGTTCCCGAGTCCCTTACATCCTCGTGAGCTTTTCCCACGCAAGGATACAGTGTGGGGAAGTCAGCTGCACCGCGGAGCCGCACCGGCGGTCCGTTGGGACGGGCTGACCGACGCACCCGGAAAAGGTCGCTGTGCACTGTGTTCGCGATACCCGTGCTGCCGCGTCTCATTCCCGACACTGCCGACGATGGCCTCGCGTCTGGACTTGTGCGCGCGAGCTTCTGCGGTGCGAAACATCCACCGGGTTACTGAGGATGCTCAACGTCCGATGAAAACAACACGCGCCGGTACCGTAGACGCGTGCGCAGTTTCTCCGCCCCCGGAATCAATCTTCGCGGGCTGGTCGCTATAGCTATATCGAACGAAATAGAAGCCGGGACCTCCTGTTACGAGAACAGTATGCATGTTGCGAAGTAGGAAGGCTCTCGGGTTTGTTCAAGCCGTAAAGACAGTGGCTTCAGCCAAGTGTTTCCTACCCGATGTGCGCGAGTATACAGTACGTCTTGACCACTGGAGAAACCGCTGGGTCGGTCTAGAAGCGTAGCGGACAATTCAGATGCCCAGTGCACTGGACTGCGATGGGCAATAGTACCAGGACAACGGGAGGCGCAGTTGCGCCTTCCCCGACTTTTCCGACTGGCCGCTCGCTGTAGGCTGCTCGGTTTACTGATCTCGCTCTTCTGGCTTATCCCGCGAGTCACGGTGCGAGTGTCGCCGACATGTTTCAGCCGCATCTCTGACGCCGCGAGTGTGCGATGTGTCGCGAGCGCAGAGATGCCGCTATGAATTGACGCCGCGAGCGTCGCAGCCTTCCTCGACACCCAGAGTTTCGCCGTGGTAGGCAGCAGTCGTCGAATCCTTTGCATTGTTTCCCCGCAGCGCCTGTGTTTCCCCGCGAGCGACGCAGGCTGTGCTCGCGATGCGTACGCTTCCTTTCCGGTACCCACGGTTGGTCAAACAGCCGTTTGAGGACGACGTCAGCGCGGAAATGTCGGTGAGAGTGCATCACAGACTCCGCACCGTGCAAGAATCAGCAGAGAAAACGGCCACGAATTCCATATCGGGCCAGCTGTGATTATCTCTTCATCTGCGTCCGAACCTGCATGAGTTCACAAAGGAACTACATCGTAACCTCAGCAGGTACGTTCACAGGCCAGGGTGGTGGGAAAGCACCCAAAGTAGCGGATAATTGCATGGAGACTCGGAACATGGATGCCTGGACTGAGCGCGCCGCTCACGCGCAAAGAATGGACAAGGAAAGCGCTGCGGAGGCGATTCGATTTTGACCAAGGTAGAGTGGTGCACAGGAATTCAATGTACAAGCGTCGAGACCGTGAATGGAGAGGAGAAACGCTCTATGGGGGTACGGTACAAAGGAGGATGCGCGATGCAGGTCGACGACGGAGAGTATGTATAAACATAGCGCAAACCGAGTGAGGCGCAGATAAATGCGAGCGGATGCGTGTACGAGAGCTACTAGGATGCAAAAGTGCGTAGCAAAGACGGAGGCGGAGACTGTGGACAGCCAGATGATATGGGTGCGCAGTAAGGAGGTGAAGACGACGGCCGGAACTCACGACGCCCAGGGGACGATGTATTGGGCTGACTGTTCCAACTACGATACGTCGATGACGACGTTGAGGATGCAGCGGAGGGGATGGACATTGGGCCCGTCGAAGATGATGATGGCACACCGGCTGCCC